GCGTAACATGTATTTTTATACTGGTTAGCAAGAAATGTATAGAACGAAAAGTGGCTGCCTCACTTGAGCTTTTATTACGCCATGCAAGTACGCGTTGGCATTTCGGAAGCAGATATGACTGGTTGGAGTGAAATCAATTTGAAAACACTTACAGTGTCTCTAAATTATTCAGACCATCAAAGACGCCATCTTGAAGCTCAGCCATTAGATTATTATCCAAGTAACTAAAAAGAGAGTGTCATGATTGAAATATGTGAAAATATAATTAAGGTTATTTATGCAGAAAACATTTATTGCGATGGTTATGGTCACAGTTATTTTATAGATTTGTTATACTTACAGTTTTCGCAAATTGGACTGTGCTGTGAAGGCTGAATTGGGTATTGTAGTGATTTGATTATCAGATAGTGTTATCTCTTGTAAGTTCTGATTTGACAATGCAGCGACAGGATACCATCTAAGTATATTGTTGTGAAGATATCTGTGATTAAAAAGCAAGAAACACATTAATGAAATACGTACACCGTAGTTACTCAAAATTTGATTTCGACTGAATCATACAGTTTGAGATGAAATATAATGACACAGTACTGTGTTCATTAACTGGTCACAGTCGCTAAATATTAGCATAAATAGCTTACAGACGATACTCGATGTTCACCCCTGTGAAGACATCAGCAGTCAATTTCGAAATCTTGTTGTCATGCAGATCTAATATGTACGCTGTTGATCCACTCCCAAACATTGGACTGTTAATAGTTCTGATTAAGTTAGAGTACAGGTAACTGAAAACAAAACATGATAAACCAACACTTAATATTAATACAATTAATATGATAGCAAACAATATTAAAATCATACTTTTTGATTGCTAAAATGCCAGTTTATCTATATGTTTTTTTCCCATAGTGGATTAGTAATTTTGTTTACGTTTTTGTGTGGATTTGAATATATATTGATGTCTTAAATGACACATTCATGTAATTGCAATAGAAACGAAGCATATTAAAGTATTTCAAAATTTACATGAATGAATCAATTTACCAAGTTGTATTTACACAGGCATGTTTTAGATATACAAAATGTACAATAGCAATAACTAAGCTAAAGAAATTATGGATCCAGAAAAAGTTTCATTTCTGAGATATATGATGTTCCTGGAGAAAATTGATCAATTACTCAAAGCTACCATACTTACATTCGAAACGATCCAGTGAATGCTTCTGACTCAATAATTTCAATTTTATTTCTACGCAGATATCTGAAAGTATATAAATAGCACGTTAAACAATGGAGACAGACGAGTTTTATTTATTGGTATACTAATATAGGCAAACCCAGTACGCCATCAATTTATTTTTTAATGCAACTGGTTTTGGACATGTGCTGGACAAACTGACATTAATGTATCATCAACTCTATATACACCAAATGAGCTTAATAATACAAACAACTTGCATTTAAAACAATTTGTGGGTGTATTTTTGTTATAGCGAGATAAACCTATAGTAAACAAGTGTAGTAGTAGTGTTATTTTATTACAAGCAAATAACATATATTGAGCCCACATGAATGTAATTGTATTATACTAAAGTGAGTACAAATAATTGGGAAATAAAATATTCTTACAGGTATCCAACCGTTCCGATGAAAGCCTCTGACTCAATCTTTTCAATCTGGTTTTCATGTAAGTATCTGAAAGAGAAGATTGTTCTAGCAAATACCATAGTTCTGGTGCAAATATTTTCGAGTTTTATTACACCAGATTATAGGAATGCAATTGAAGTATAAAACCGAAATAAACTTCTGAATAATAGTATCTTGAAAGTTGAAACATAAAATTAAAACATGCACACGTAGGAGACTAAACGCTATAAGAAGCTTTAGTCG